GTAAGTTGGCATAGAACAACAGCTATGCACAGCCATGTTAATCTCCTCTTCACTTTGGAAGGCAGTACAAGCACCCTTCATACCTCGACATTGCCTTGGAGTGGAAGCTAATTCACCATGAGTTTTCCACTTCGCTACAATCGATCTCGGGGTGATGATTCTTCATCACCACTGCAGCCTGGACAGCCTTCGGGAAGACATGTGTCACTCTCCTGCTCAACAGATTCCTACATCTAGATTTGGTTACCGTCAGGGAACGAAATAGAGCTGCAAAACACCAAAGTAATTGTTTTCTTCCATTCAATTACACTGCTGAGCATGCACAGCATGGCGACAGCTAAGCAGTACGCACGTCATCAAGCCCAATTTCCAAATATGGAAGGTGTTATTTATGAAATTTGACACGGTTCCTCTTCTCTGATCGGCTCGAGACATAGCTCATCGGAATCAGTGCTCAATTCCCCTTCGGATAAGCCATACTTATTTTTGGCGTTCAGTTTCCCTTTAACGGTGATAACCCGCGATATTCATGTTAAAACAAAATGGCGTCACGATTTATTGAAAGTGGTATAGTTGGTGGAACGAGTGTTCAAACCCATTTGAACTTCATACTGTTCATCTTCTTTTTGACATGCTCCCTTTCCATCGTCCTTAGCTTTTATTTGTTGAGAGCTGTTTTGGCTTTCTCCTATACCTCTGGGGGATGCCAAGTGATGGTTTTGAGAGGCTGGTGATGGCTGTGAGCGAGAGTTTGCCGATCGGCGTCGTCCTCGCTATAGCGATGAAGGCACCTGGCAGATATCACAACACGTCGGAGCGTCCAGGAGCAAAGGAATCTTGGGTTTTCACTGGAATCTAGTTCCTCCAGCATCGTGTAGCCCACCGTCGGTGAATGGCGGTCCAGAAAGGTCGAACCTGGTCTTCTGCAGCATCTCGCAGTCCTGCGAGGCACACTGAATACGCCTGTCATGTATTCTACAAATATAAATCACGAAGTTGTGGACTTTACAGTGATGAGTCTATCCTGTATGCTGCAAAAGACGCAGGAAATGTGACTGGTGTCTGTACACTCAGTGACTGGACGCCAACACCCCAGTCTTCTCCTGCAGGATCTGTTTGACATTGACATTATGCAGTAGGTCGGCATTGACCTGGTTTGGCAGCTATCGTTATAGTATCTGCCTGGTTGGATGTAGCAGGTTGGTGTTTGCTCGTCGTCCAGTCCGGAATTTTCTTGTAACTCACGGTGGAGTACGCGCAGGGTTTGTGATCATCCCTGTTCACTTCAATATTATCAAACACAACGTTCCCTTTGTCACTCATCTTATCCTGAGTACTGAATTTGCTGACAATATTGCACCATACTTGTCACAACCTACCGCCACTGCTGGCGGTGGCGACTGGTTCGTCAATGGCGGTGACCAGGCTGACTGACTAGCTTCGAGACAGCGGCCTCGTTGTCAATCCCGCGGCAGCCTAAAGGTTGATTTTATTCATCCAGCCTTAGCGCCATGTTGACGATGCCCTAGTGACTGTGTGTCATGGATTGCCTTGCCATCAGCGGTCATTGCCGTCCACCTTGATGCAGCCCTCAACAACTGGCTCAGCCCATGGGAGTCTCAAGTGGACAAAGTTGTTGCCAAAGTAGCTCAGAAGATTGGTGCATCGTGGTGTAGGTGAGCACATAACTAGGACTTCCCAGCGTCTATTTGTCCAGGCTGCGATACTATGTGACATGCTGTACTGCACATTCTTTTCAGCACTGCAAGGCCGGCAGCTGGACCGACTGCAGGGGCCGCGCACATGCAGGCCGCCTGTTGCCAGTGCAGCATTCTGGAACGTTCCTTCCTTCTGAGATCCGTGGAATAATAACTTTCTTTGCTTCAAAGCAAGTTGCTTACCTTTCTGTTGTGCTCCCAGTGTCCTTACAACAATAACCTATAGCAATGTTTTATTTTCCTTTCCATTCCCCAACCAATGAATACTACGATGTCGATTCTATTTCTTCATACTTTGGTGTGTGCCCGCGCACGCACGTGTGTGTGTATACCTCACTCGCCACTCGAAGTTCTGTTCCCCATCACTGGAACACTGCCTGTTCTTTCAGGACCTGCCATCATCTGCGGATGGGCATTCAATAATTGTATTGTGTGTGTGTTTCATTCAGAATCAGATCCGCTATCATTGCTATTAGAGAAAATCTGTGGGTTCACATCCAGTGCATTTTTAGATCTGCGTGCTTTTCTCGCCACGGGCGCATACATGGGACATTGTGTGTGTGTGCGTCTGTGTGTATGGGGATATTGTCTGTATCGGCTTTTGGTACTAATGTTCAGGTCTGTGCTTGCATGTGTGAACATGAAATTGTTCGGTTCTGTGCATGCTATTGCTATGTTGTATATTATTGTATGTATGTGTGCATTTCCACGAACAGTGTAGACGAGCGTGGAGAGTGCATTCATCCCTCATCAACCACTTCCCCTTGGGCTTACGAGAGTTTTTTCTGCGTACCTCTCTGATACTGTATTGATGCCGGCACCTGTACCTCGATGTGTTCCTCTATCTGCAGTCGCCTTTAACCTTCGGTCAAGTTAACGTTTATTGTGCTCTATTTATCGTGCGAATCAAAATAAACAATAATAACACAAGTCGTGCTAGAGTGACGACATGTGCGTGTAGTAGGGTTGATGCGATGGGACGTTATAATTAGGTGGAACAGAACACACATTGGGCAGATTGATTGGGCATCATTGATTGTGCTCAGTCTAAACAGTGAACATAATAATTATCTCCAGTGACAGACTGTAGCGGCTAGCCTCCAATAGGTAGCTGGCACTAGTCGCTACTGCTTGTTTGACAGGTGCCGCCAGAACCCCTGTTGTGTCATGCTATAGATGCACATGCCCTGTTCTGGGGCATACTGAGGTACTTTGATTTTGTTGACTGCATGTAGACAGCATCCAATAGTAGTACTCGTAGACCTTGGCTCTTTGTAGGTCAACCACCATCGCATGGATCGATCGGTGACTATGCACTTGGAGGTTGGAATAGCCCGCGCTGAACAGATCTTGCCATGGCCCAGGGAGTGAACTCGCTTACTCGACTATCCCGGTCAGTTTAGTTAACCAGCATGAGTGGTGCAATTTGTCCATACCATGTTGCGAGCTCACAGTTGTTTGGGCAGGTTTTGAGCTGCACCACGAAACAAAGCGAAATAACGGCGTGACTGTAGAGCAAGGAAGCGGCGAGACGGCACTTCCAGGACGAGACAGGCAGTAGAGATGTGTTCACAGCACGAGCAACCTCTCAGACCCTGCCGGTACTCCACAGTTACAAGAAAATGTCGGACTGGACGACGCGCCAATGCAAACCTGCTACATCCACCCAGGCAGATAGCTGCCAAACCAGGCCAATGTCGACCCACTGCACACCGGTATGTCAATGTCAAAGTTGACAAACAGATCCTGCAGGAGAAGACTGGGATGATATTGGCGTCCAGTGTACGGACACCAGTCACATTTCCTGCGTCTTTTGCAGCATACAGGATAGACTCATCACTGTAAAGTCCACTACTTCGTGATTTTTATTTGTAGAATACATGACAGGCGTATTCAGTGTGCCTCGCAGGACTGCGAGATGCTGCAGAAGACCAGTTTCGACCTTTCTGGACCACCATTCACCGACGGTGGGCTACACGATGCTGGTGGAACTAGATTCCAGTGAAAACCCAAGATTCCTTTGCTCCTGGACGCTCCGACGTGTTGTGATATCTGCCAGGTGCGCAGTAACTAGTATTTTCATCGCTATAGCGAGGACGACGCCGATCGGCAAACTCTCGCTCACAGCCATCACCAGCCTCTCAAAACCATCACTTGGCATCCCCCAGAGGTATAGGAGAAAGCCAAAACAGCTCTCAACAAACAAAAGCTAAGGACGATGGAAAGAGAGCATGTCAAAAAGAAGACGAACAGTATGAAGTTCAAATGGGTTTGAACACTCGTTCCACCAACTATACCACTTTCAATAAATCGTGACGCCATTTTGTTTTAACACGCATACGGTCCACTAGGGTACCGGTAGATAATGATGTCTGTATTTCGTGGCAAAAGGGGGGGGGGGGGGGGTTGGGTGCGGCTTACACTCCGGAAAATACGGTACACGACTTGCAGTGATGTACTACTAGTACTGCAGATTGATTTTTGCCATTTTCTGTTCTTTTTGTTTTGTCTAGGGTTTCTTCTGTGATAAGCCAGTGCGATATGATTATGAATATGAGTTGTTGTTCGCTCGTCGCCTCCAATTGGCCAAGGCAGTACAGACAATACACTAGCACTGACACCATGTTGTGCGCATCATTCAAGATCACGCAGCGTGCATGTACACTGTACATGCACACGTACATTGAAGTACCAACTATACCTATCACTCAGTGTCACACATAATACTGATATACTGGACTGGGTTTATTGACTTTATTCACAACACCAAGCGCGTGCAACCATCATGAAGTAGGAACCCAAGCAAAAAGACAACCCAACTTGATTCGGAAATACACGTTTCAAGTAGAACACTAAATTGAAATGTAAGATTGAACACCACAAGTTCACAATGGTGGGACACTTTGTTTAGTTGTGACTCTGACTTTCATGGCACCAACATAGCCAAGGGTTTCGAACGTACCTTGCCAGAGTGCTCAAACTGACAAGTCCGTGAGCTCTGCATAGCGCAAACAGCAAAGGTACTACTAGTACCTCACATGAGAGTGCTCAACTACTACAAGAGCAGGATCGAAATACTCAATCTGCGGACAGCATGCTGTTTCGTTCTTTGTGAACTCATCAGCGCAGCACAGAGAGAATGCGGCCGAACCTGATAGCAATGAAAAATAAATTTTCCAAAGCCAGATTTAAACCAGGCCCGAACGTGCCTTGCCAGAGTGCTCAAACTGACAAGCCAGTGAGCTCTGCATAGCGCGAACAGCAAAGGCACTACCCCCCACATGAGAGTGCTCAACTACTACAAGAGCAAGAGCAAAATACTCAACAGAACAGAACTGTTTCGTCCTTCGTGTACCCATGAGCGCAGCACAGAGAAAATGAGGCCGAACCTGGTAGGCATGAAAAATAAATAAAAAGGGGACAATGATAGTATTGTATCAATTCTGAGTATTATCGTGACCGCATTATGTGAATTTGACCTAACACTTTCGTTGCACGATGCTGGGCCCAGATTCATCGTACTCTTGTTTGGAGATCCACACCTGCTGGAATGTAGACAGTGAGGCCAGAATAGAGCCACCGATCCACGCAGCATATCTCCTCTCCGGTGGAGCGACTATGTCCACTTTCATGGAGCTGTTTACGAGCGCAGAGATTTCCTTCTGCAAGCGCTCCCTTATACCTGGGAACATGGTGTTACCGCCAGACAAAACAATGCTGCTGCAGCGGAGATCTTTGCCGACTTCCACGTCGCACGCTACAAGGCTCCTGCGTATCATCTCGGGTATGCCAGCCTGCTCCACGCCGAGCAAAGATGGCTGGAAGAGAGCTTCAGCACAGCGGAAGCGTTCATTTCCAATACTAATGACCTGTCCATCTGGTAGCTCATAGCTCTTCTCCAGTGTAGAGCTGCGTGGTGCCGTGGTCATCTCCTGGTCAAAGTCCAGGGCTACATAGGCATGTTTCTCCTTGATGTCACGGACGATCTCGCGATCGGCAGTCGTCGTGAACGAGTAGCCACGGTCAGTCAAAATTTTCATCAGATAATCCGTTAGACCTCTGCCCGCAATGTCGATCTTGGAGATCAGATTAGGAACACTGTAGCCTTCGTGAACGGGTACAAGATGTGAGACGCCGTCACCAGAATCCAGGACTATCCCCGTGGTTTGACCAGACGAGTAGAGAGAAAGTTCCGCTTGAATGGATACATACGTAGCGGGTACGTTGAACGTCTCGAACATGATCTAAAGAAACAAAAAAAACAGGGGGAACAACAGACCAAGGTTGTGTTGACGATCCCCAGGGGTAATGCTAGAGGAGGAAAATATCTCTTCGGCATCTGGCTCATAGATCAAGAGGAGGAAACACGTGTATATTTGAACCAATAAACTTGAGTGGATAGATGGATAGATACATGAATATACTTCCTCCGTATACAAAAACTTCGTGACTTTTTTCAACGGTGTTTTTGAGTAAGAACCTGCTCAACGAACCGCGCCAAAGGCTGTCATCGACAACCCACATTCATGTTGAGGTAAGTTTGGTTGATCCCGAATAGATTCTCCAAGGAAGCCATGCGTGTGAGGACGTAAGTCGTTGCCAACTGGAACTAACGAGTCAAATGAAAAAGAACTAACACGTCACTTGTTCGAAACTGACACCGTGACGAAGTGGAGCTGGTGGATGGAACACGGAGTCCACCGGCAATCGCTGCCCAAAGGCTGAAGCTGGCCAGGCTCGTACTTACGGTCCGCGGCCCCGGCCATACTCAGCGTGAGAACATAAATCGATTCCGCTCGCACGGCAAGATGAAACATTTCAGTCGTCTCGAGCTGTTTTTGAGCGTGTAAAATGCACTTCACCTGGGGATTTTGTGAAAATTGACCTAGAAATGGTGGAGAAATATGTGCTTTCGTTTGTCATGCCTAATAATAGTGACAATATCCAATAAAATGACTGAGAGGAGGGCGTGTGATGTCATCCGTGTTAACGAAAGAATATTCGTTCGTTCGTTCGTTAAGCCAAAGAATATTCGGCAATTGGGTTTTGATATACGTTTCACCACTAGTAATTATACAGAATGGTTGATAGACAGACAGACATTTAGTTTCAAGGTAGAGGGAGAGAGAGAGAGAGAGAGAGAGAGAGAGAGAGAGAGAGAGAGAGCAGGAGAGAGAGAGAGAGAGAGAGAGAGAGAGAGAGAGAGAGAGAGAGAGAGAGAGAGAGGAGAGAGAGAGAGAGAGAGAGAGAGAGAGAGAGAGAGAGAGAGAGAGAGAGAGAGAGAGAGAGAGAGGGAGAGAGAGAGAGAGAGAGCGGGAGGGAGAGAGAGAGAGAGAAGGAGAGAGAGAAGGAGAGAGAGAGTGTGTGAGAGAGAGTGGGTGTGAGAGAGAGAAAGAGGGAGAGAGTGATGTTTCGCTTCAGATGTT